ATATATATATAGAGTTTAATTTATTTATCATATCTCTTACATTATTAACTATCTTAGAACAATATTTCCAAAGATGGGTTTTTTAAAGTAAAGAAAAAATATATTATATGAATTTAAATCTATAATAGATCAGTTCAGAAAATTTTCACCATTAAGAAAGGAGATTTATCTAGAAAATGGATAAATCTCTGTTGATGTTCTTCAAGGAGATTACTTTGAAGAAAATCATACTACTTTCCACTTTTAAAGAAGGCATATTAAATTGATACTCGAATGTATCGAATGTATATAATTGATATTGTTTTTCTACAATACTATTTGGTTCTCTCATTGTGCTCACTTTGTGAGCAGCTGTGTTATCACAGAGATTGTTTTGACAATTGTGTCGTGACAGAGGATTAATAAGAGTGTAACAATATCATATTTTTTTAAAAATGCCGTTTTAGATTCATTCAGATTCATTACTTTTAACATGGACACATTGGCAAATAACTGGACTATAGCACATGATCTAAAATTCTATTCTTACCTGGTACAACTGTGCCATTGTTAGTCAACTCTAAGGCTCGTTGCTCGTCTGGAATATCACCATTCTGATAAGGAATCACTATCAACGCACGGTCGATGAAAACGGTGTTAGTCATGTGTTGCGCTACAGCAACGCAGCCTTGGTCGTGAAATTTAATATAGCATATGCGCGACTGCACGGGTACGGCAACGTCTCTAATCGTTGGATATAACCTGATGTCCTCAATTTTGCCCAGATATCCAAAAAGTGTCTGCATTTGATCTTTGGTGGCCTGAGGCGCGATGTTTGTCACTTGGACTACCTTCGTTGAGCCGACTGCCATTCTGTCGGCTGCGGATCGCACGCGGAACAAAGCGCAATTGAGGTTATAGAGGTTATACTTTTGGCTACTTGCGACTTTACACGTGAGGTTATCACAGACTGAATCTCATTATTCTTTTCTTTGTTACTGCTCTAAAGCAGGAGATGTTTTTCGAACAATTCAGAGGGATTTTTGCCTAAATAAAAACTACAAACACTATACTCAAACGTTCCTGACGTCCTCCCCTCCTTGTCAATTCTGTTCTTGAAGTAACAAACTGAAGTTAACTGCGTCTCCGCGATGCATTTGCATTCCGTTGCACGTTCTTGTTTGATTGGCTGATTCAAATTTTTGCAAAATATCGCTGAACATTTAAATACAGTGCAGTCTTAACCGATTGTTGTTCACTGAAGATGGCTCAAACTTGAGCCGAAACGTTTGAAGATTCATTGAATAAAAATTATATGCAATGCAATTAATTGCGTACTTCTTACCGCGCCCTTCTCATTGCCCCTTTGTTTGTATTTAAATACATTTCTGTCAAGTCGAAATAAAAATAATATTAAAGTGGTCTTATTAATTCTATTATAAAATATAGTGATAGAGTGATTGGAATTATATTTCATAGAAGCATAAAAATGAAAAATATTGAACTAAATGATTTTTTATTTTGATGATTCATATTGTAATTATTTTGTTATATAGAATATTTTAATTTTAAAAAATTATGACAAATTTCTAATTTAATATAAATAATGCATTTTAAAATTAACTTTTAATTTTACTTTTAAACTTAATTTAATTTTAACGCAACTTTTAACTGAGTTAGCCTTTGTAAATTGGCTCGTGTAGCTTTCAATGTAATTAAATTAATTACGATATAAATCATTAACTTTAGTTAAAAATTTAGTTAAAAAAATATTAACTTATCCAATCATTAACTTTAACTTAATTTAGTTAAAAAGTATTAACTTATCCAATCGTGTATTTGAATGTATAAATTTTATGTTTTAGCAGCGTTTAATGGGCACTAATCCGGTGTAGTGACCGAATTCGGTATTAAAATTTAACGATAAATAAATAAAATTTATTGTGCAATAAAAAAAAAAGATAAATAAAAATAATACTAATTATAATACTAAAATAATTTTTATACAAAAGAAATAACAAAATTTTAATACTTACTGAAATCTAGTCTAGAAAATAGTATTATTTTTATATCTTTTTTTCTTTTATTACGTTAAATTTTATCAACTTTCATGAAATCATATTTGCAAATCTAATTTATTTTATTTTATAATTTATTAAGCTTAAATTTAAAAATAGTAAAAATAGTAAAAAGTATATTATGAAAATTATATTAGAAATTATTTAATAAACATTTCTATTATAATCGAAGTTTAGAATTTTTCTAATTATCATTAACAAATCATTTTCTTTCAACAAAGATATTAATTATTGTGCGATGTAAATTTCCGATTTTCGATATTGAATACCTAGCTTAGAACCTATCTGAACAGAACTCTTCTTCGATATGTTGAACCGTCAATCCCTTTTTTTCCCCATTTCTCACTACCTTTTCATTTGTTCGTTTTACCTCTGCAATTATGTGAAGGGGGTGCTTATACAAAATCATACTTAACTTTACTATACTCAGGCCTATGCTTCTGATAAATCGATTTCAATCAATTTTTTATAACTCTCGGCGGAATTTGCTTATCAATCAACGGAGACTAACGAGAAAACTATTTTTCGAAAATGAATTGATTTTGATTTGACTCATTATTGATACGTTCAAAGTAGCAAAGTAGCGACGCAACATGTAATCCTCCGTAACTCTCAATTTGGTAAATAAGTGTTCTGAACTCCGAAAGCTTAGAGTTATAAATTCATAACTTGATTTCATAAACGCAGGTCTTTAGGTGAACGCACTCCTGGCTACTTTGCTACAGCAATTTTCAACGACGTTACGCATTACGAATGTAATGCGTAATTTAGCAAACTTTGTCCGTTACTTTTCCATGTTCCATGATTATTGCAACGAGCAATCGTCCGAGGCAACGATCGACATGACAGTGCTTCGCTATCGTGTATATACTCGTCGCGTGCGCAGGATGCTTTATCTTGGCGGTATTTTGCAAGATCGAAAACGTTCAGCAATCTGTTCGTATATTACAGGTCTCTTGATAATCTTCACGTGCTTCGGTCAATGTATCTTCACAATAAATTTCTGTCGAGATCACACCGATAATTTGGTGCTTCTTTCAAGAAGCTTCGGCTTAACATGCAGTCTCATCGCACCTGTTTTAATGGTATCTCATGCCCATTATAGGAAACATGTAGAAAATTCGATTTTTTACAAATTATTTATCAAATTTTACTTATCCAATCATAAATCCTAAATCAATATATAAACTCGAAATCACCATATCTTTTATATCGTTTCTTTTAATAATCTTGCACTGGCAAGATTAGAACAATCTACGAAATCATTTTTAATTAACTTCATGTTTCTTTAATAAATAATAATTATTTTTAATAAACTTGTCAATAGATTGACAAGTAAACTTATGCTCAAAATATTACAAGAGGTTTCCACTATCTAATGTCCATAAAACTTGCGTTTTGTCGATGTACTGATTAGATCTGATTATAAGCTCCCTTTCTCCAAAGTGCGTCATGTAGTAGTGTAATGTAGTGTATTTAAAATTTGTCATAGCCTATTTTTAATAATACCGGGTTAAACAACAATGTCAAAAATTTTAGGGAAAGAATTATAGAAACCCTTTTCTTTCAGTCGATCTGCTTTTTGGTAAAACGCGAGAAACTGATGAATCTTCATGAAACGCTGAACGGTATCTTCGAGCGGGAACTGACACGGAATCGAGAAACCGAGGAAACTATACTCGCCACTCTGCATACGTTCGACAGACCGTCTTACATACTCTGTTTCACCCTAGGGTCTACAGTACTGTTGATCCTCTGTCCGCCGCTGGTTTCCACAGTCCGCCAGATTATTTATCATACCGAATCCAAACGATACAGACTACCGCTTCCGGCAAAATTTCCATGGTCTATATCGATCGATGGCAACTTTTCCTTTTATTTATCATTCTTGTACCAGATATTCATCTGCTGGTGGATGGTCTTCACAGTCGGCAGCGTCGATAGTCTTTTCGGATACTATGCATTTCAAATCTCCTCGATACTACAGGCCATGTCTTTTAGATTGGCAAATCCACGACCTCGGGAAGTATTTGCAGAAGTTTTGAGAACATGCGTGCAAACGCATCACCGGTTACTGCGATGCGGACACATGCTGAACGATATCTGGGATTTGATAATCATACGAATGATTCTCACAAACGCGATACTCATGTGCGTTTTAATCTTCGAAGCGAGTCCGGTAGGTCCTAGAATTAGATCGTACTATTGAAAATAATTCAACAAAATGTTAACAATATGCAGTTTGTCAGCAAATTTAGAAGTAAAAAGGATCTATTTCTTTTTATTTCTTTCATCTATCCAACCCATCATTCTTATCATATTACTCAAATAATCATCCAAAATAAGAAGGCAGGATGTGTGTTACGACAGGAGCCTCGAACCAGTGTTGTGAAAATCGAAATTATTTTGTGAAAAATATCATCTCAGCCAGGAATCGAACCTGGATCCCCTGCTTATCGAGCAGGTATCTTATCCTTTCGAGCACTGAAGTATGTGTAATTGCTCCATGGAGTAAAATGGATTCAAAGAATTCTTAAACTTTAATTGAATTGAAATGGATTTTAAAAATCAAGAATTTGAATTCGACCACACGGATCCATTTCTATTTCCGTTTGTTGGATGCTATTAATAATGATGGGCTGATGGAGCTTCAAAGATGCATTTAAATCCAACAAAATCTTTATAAACGATTGTTAATTTCTTTTCCTCATTATTGTCTCTTTTTTTTCATTGATATTTCCCTCAAGTCTATTTTAATTCTTTAAAAAAATATTCTAAATAATATTTGTGGATTATGGCAGAATATGCAACACTGATTGATGCTACTATATAAATCTTAATCATTAATATATTGCTAATATCTTTATTCTGACAAGTCATTATGATAACAGTTCACCCACTTGACGATTGGACAGATCCTTTTGTTCGTTTCATACATGGCATTAAAATTATTGCAAACATTCATCTACGCATGGTACGGTAATCTTGTTACAAATGCGGTAAGTTTTATTACAAATTATGAAATAATTTCTTTAAACTAATTATAATTATAATCCAGAAGCAATTATTTTATGTACATGTATTCAGAGTGAACATTTTCGTCAAGGAATATATTTCAGTGAATGGTCAAATTCCAATTTAAATCATCATATTAGGACTAGCATTATTATCACGATGATGCAAAAGCCGATGATTATAAAGGCATTAAAATTGTCTTCCGTAAACGTCAATATGTTTACTAACGTAAGTACTAAAATGATTGTCACATAGACATTATCTCTCTGTACGAACTGCACTGTTTTTATCATTCGATTCACTTTAATAAAATTTATATATTATTTATAATATATTTATAATATATTTCGTTCTTAAGAAAATAGAAGTATCAAAATGAATTTAAAAAATCAAAAAAAAAATGCAGAAAATTTTGAGACTTTAAGCTAATTCTAAGATAAAACATAATTATAAAATTATTAAAATGGCTTTAAATTTAAAAAAAAAAGATATTTTTGCTTACCAACAATAACTAATTTTGTGTTCATGTCTTCATTATTAGATCGTGAATACTGCTATGTCCTATTTCTTTCTCTTGCAATCCTTGGATCAGAATAGATAAAAGTTGATGCCATATATTACTGTTTCATCAATTTTAAGAAGTGATATATATCACTACAATATAGAAAAAATATATATTAATTAAACGATACAATTCACTTTAATTAAAATTTGTAAACAAATTATTTAAAAAATTGCAAGTTCTTTGTATTATTATACTAATTTAATATAACTTACTATATACAGTAGTAACATATGTAGTAGTAATATTAAATTAATAATTATTTGTTTGTGTATTAGAAATAGTGTTAGTAGTTTCTACTGATTCAATTAGGACTCATAATAATGTCAAATATTTCAACATTTAAGATTTTAATCTCTTAGTTATTTTTTATTAGATTAATTTTATTAGAAGAAATTTTTTTTATTAGTATAAGAAAAACATTTTGAACACATGTTTTAATATATATATATATATATATATATATATATATATATATATTATT